TAATTGTTTTGGGTTCATTATTGTAGGTCTTTTCCTTCTCTTGTGTTTCTTGCCTAGAGAAGTTCCTTTAGCAGTTGTTGTAAAGCTGGTTTGGTGGTGCTGAACTCTCTCAGCTTTTGCTTGTCTGTAAAGGTTTTAATTTCTCCATCAAATCCCAATGAGATCCTTGCTGGGTAGAGTAATCTTTGTTGCACGTTTTTCTCCCTCATCACTTTAAATATGTCCTTCCAGTCGCTTCTGACTTGCAGAGTTTCTGGTGAAAGATCAGCTGTTAACCTTATGGGGATTCCCTTGTGTGTTATTTGTTGTTTTTCCCTTGCTGCTTTTAATATGTTTTCTTTGTTTTTAATTTTTGACAGTTTGATTAATATGTGTCTTGGTGTATTTCTCCTTGGATTTATCCTGTATGGGACTCTCTGTGCCTCCTGGAGTTGACTAACTATTTCCTTTCCCATATTAGGGAAGTTTTCAACTATAATCTCTTCAAATATTTTCTCAGTCCCTTTCTTTTTCTCTTCTTCTTCTGGAACCCTAATAATTCGAATGTTGGTGCACTTAATGTTGTCCCAGAGGTCTCTGAGACTGTCCTCAGTTCTTTTCATTCTTTTTTCTTTATTCTGTTCTGCAGTAGTTATTTCCACTATTTTGTCTTCCAGGTCACTTATCCGTTCTTCTGCCTCAGTTATTCTGCTATTGATCCCATCTAGAGTATTTTTAATTTCATTTATTGTGTTGTTCATCGTTGCTTGTTTCATCTTTAGTTCTTCTAGGTCCTTGTTAAATGTTTCTTGCATTTTGTCTATTCTATTTCCAAGATTTTCGATCATCTTTACTATCATTATTCTGAATTGTTTTTCAGGTAGACTGCCTATTTCCTCTTCATTTGTTAGGTCTGGTGGGTTTTTATGTTGCTCCTTCATCTGCTTTGTGTTTTCTCATTTTGCTTATCTTACTGTGTTTGGGGTCTCCTTTTTGCAGGCTGCAGGTTTGTAGTTCCCGTTGTTTTTGGTGTCTGTCCCCAGTGGCTAAGGTTGGTTCAGTGGGTTGTGTAGGCTTCCTGGTGGAGGGGACTAGTGCCTGTGTTCTGGTGGATGAGGCTGGATCTTGTCTTTCTGGTGGGCAGGTCCACGTCTGGTAGTGTGTTTTGGGGTGTCTGTGGACTTATTATGATTTTAGGCAGCCTCCGTGCTAATGGGTGGAGCTGTGTTCCTGACTTGCTAGTTGTTTGGCATAGGGTGTCCATCACTGTAGCTTGCTGGTCATTGAGTGAAGCTGGGTGCTGGTGTTGAGATGGAGATCTCTGGGATATTTTTGCCGTTTGATATTATGTGGAGCTGGGAGGTCTCTTGTGAACCAGTGTCCTGAAGTTGGCTCTCCCATCTCAGAAGCACAGCACTGACTCCTGGCTGCAGCACCAAGAGCCTTTCATCCACACGGCTCAGAATAAAAGGGAGAAAAAGTAGAAAGAAAAAATTAGTAGAAGTAGAAAGAAAGAAAGAAAGAAGGGAGGGAGGGAAGGAGGGAGGAAGGAAGGAAGGAAGGACGGAAGGAAGGAAAAAAAGAAAGAAAGAAGATAAAGTACAATAAAATAAAGTAAGATAAAATATAATAAAGTTATTAAAATAAAAATATAATTATTAAGGGAAAAAATTTAAAAAAAGACAAAAACAAAGAAAAAAAACGGATGGATAGAACCCTAGGACAAATGGTCGAAGCAAAGTTATACAGACAAGATTTCTCACAGAAGCATACACATACACACTCACAAAAAGAGGTAAAGCGGAAAAAATCATAAATCTTGCTCTCAAAGTCCACCTTCTCAATTTGAGATGATTTGTTGTCTAAAGGAGGCAAGGAAGGAAAGAAAGAAAGAAAGAAAGAAAATAAAGTAAAATAAAATAAAGTTATTAAAATAAAAAAATAATTATTAAGGAGAAAAAATTTAAAAAAAAATGGACGGATAGAGCCCTAGGACAAATGGTGGAAGCAAAGCTATACAGCAAAATCTCATACAGAAGCATACACATACACACTCACAGAAAGAGGAAAAGGGGAATAAATCATAAATCTTGCTCTCAAAGTCCACCTCCTCAATTTTTCTTTTTCCATCCCCTCACTTTCATTCTGTATTTGTCCCTAGGTCTGAAGTGGGTCTCTTGTAGATAGCATATGTATGGGTCTGTTTTTAATATCCATTCAGCAAGCCTGTGTCTTTTAGTTGGAGCATTTAATCCATTCACATTTAAGGTAATTATCAACATGTACGTTCCTATGACCATTTTCTTAATCGTTTTGGGTTTGTTTTCATAGGTCGTTTTCTTCTCTTGTGTTTCCCACTTAGAGAAGTTCCTTTAGCATTTTTTTGTAGATCTGGCTTGGTGGTGCTGAATTCTTTTAGCTTTTGCTTGTCTGTAAAGCTTTTGATTTCTCTGTTGAATCTGAATGAGATCCTTGCTGGGTAGAGTAATCTTGGTTGTAGGTTCTTTCCTTCCATCACTCCCTTCTGGCTTTCAGAGTTTCTGCTGAGAAATCAGCTGTTAACCTTATGGGATTTCCTTTGTATGTTATTTGTCATTTTTCCCTTGTTGCTTTTGATAATTTTTCTTTGTCTTTAATTTTTGTCAATTTGATTACTATGTGTCTTGGTGTGTTTCTCCTTGGGTTTATCCTGCCTTGAACTCTCTGTTCTTCCTGGACTTGGATGGCTATTTCCTTTCCCATGTTAGGGAAGTTTTCAACTATAATCTCTTCAAATATTTTCTTGGGTCCTTTCTCTCTCTCTTCTCCTTCTGGGACCCATAAAATGCAAATGTTGTTGTGTTTAATGTTGTCCCAGAGGTCTCTTAGGCTGTCTTCATTTCTTTTCATTCTTTATTCTGTTCCACAGCAGTGAATTCTACCATTCTGTCTTCCAGGTCACTTATCCATTCTTCTGCTTTTATTATTCTGCTATTGATTTCTTCTAGTGTATTTTTCATTTCAGTTATTGTATTGTTCATCTCTGTTTGTTTGTTCTGTAATTCTTCTAGGTGTTCTTTAATTCTTCTATGTCTTTGTTAAGCATCTTCTAGATCTTTGCCTCCATTCTTTTTCCGAGGTCCTGGATCATATTCACTATCACTATTCTGAATTCTTTTTTCTGGAAGAATTCTTTTTCTGCCTATCTCCACTTCGTTTAGTTGTTTTTCTGGTGTTTTATCTTGTCCCTTCATTTGGTACATAGTCTTTTGCCTTTTCATTTTGTCTGTCTTTCGGTGAATGTGGTTTTTGTTCCACAGCCTGCAGAGTTGTAGTTCTTCTTGCTTCTGCTGTCTGCCCTCTGGTGGATGAGGCTATCTAAGAGGCTTGTGCAAGCTTCCTGATGGGAGGGATGGGTGGTGGGTAGAGCTGGATGTTGTTCTGGTGGGCAGAGCTCAGTAAAACTTTAATCTGCTTGTCTGCTGATGGGTGGGACTGGGTCCCTCCATGTTGGTTGTTTGACCTGAGGCAACCTGGCCCTGGAGGCTACAGGCTCTTTGGTGGGGCTAATGGCAGACTCCGGGAGGGCTCACACCAAGTAGTACTTCCCAGAAGTTCTGCTGCCAGTGTCCTGGTCCCCGTGGTGAGCCACCGCCACCCCCCACCTCTGCAGGAGGCCCTCCAACAGCAGCTGGTAGGTCCAGTTCAGTCTCCCATGGGGTTACCACTCCTTCCCAGGGTCCTGATGCACACACTACTTTGTACATGTCCTCCATGAGTGGAGTCTCTTCTCCCCCCAGTCCTGTCAAAATCCCGCAATCAAATCCCACCAGCCTTCAAAGTCTGATTCTCTAGGAATTCCTCCTCCCATTGCTGGACCCCGTGGTTGGGAAGCCTGACATGGGGCTCAGAACCTTCACTCCAGTGGGTGGACCTCTGTGGTATAAGTTCTCCAGTTTGAGAGTCGACCACCCAGCAGCAATGGGATTTGATTTTATTGTGATTGCACCCCCGTTACCATTTCACTGTGGCTTCTTCCCTGTCCTTGGATGTGGGGCTTCTTTTTTGGTGAGTTCCAGTGTCCTCCTGTTGATGATTGTTCAGCAGTTGTGATTCTGGTGCTCTTGCAAGAGGGAGTGAGCACACGTCCTTCTACTCTGCCATCTTCCCATCATTTTCTCCCTTTATATTTGTTAGTATTTTTTAATGTATTTAGGTGCTCCTATATTGGGTTCATATATGTTAATGAGTGTAATATCCTCTTTTTGTATTGATCCTTTTATCATTATACAGTGTCCTTCTTTATCTTTCTTTATGGCTTTTGTTTTAAAGTCTATTTTGTTTGATATAGTATTCTTATCCTCGCTTTCTTGTCATTTCCATTTGCATGAAATATGTTTTTCCATCTCCTTACTTTCAACCTATGTGTGTTCTTCACCCTAAAGTAGGTCTGTTGTATGCAGCATATTTTTTTTTTATCAAATGTACCACTCTATGTCTTTTGATTGGAGCATTTAGTCCATTGACATTTAAGGTGATTATTGATAGTTAGGTATTTATTGCTACTTTAAACCTTGTTTTCCATTTGATTTTGTATTTCTTCTTTGTTGTTTTTCTGTTTGTTGTTTGATGATTGTCTTACGTATTATGCTTGTCTTCTCTTTTTGATTTTTGTGAATCTATTGTATGTTTTTTTTGAGGGTATTAAATTGTTTATTTATTACACATGATAATGGATGATACACAAGATTCATTCCCATCTATATCTGGTACCATAATCCAATTTAGATATATTGCATAGGATGTGCCAACAATCATATATTAATAATCAAAAAAACTCCATGACTTGGCTTGGGTGACCCTTTTCACAGTGAGCTCCAGGTCACAATGCAGTAACTGTCAGTTCAACGACACCAAAGTTTCAGAAGACAATAGTTTCTCCACCAAAGCAGGTTGTAAATAAATTTCTTTTTTTTTTTGTAAATAAATTTTTGATGGAACCTGGCATCACCCTGAAGGAGCTCTAACTTCACACTGTTGGGGTAGTTTACCAAAATGGCTTCAGAGGAGACTAACTTTACACAGCACATTTTAAAAAAAAGACACATTTATTCACCGTCATGATCAGACCATTACATTTAGCAATCAACAGCATGGGTGCAAAAAAAAAAATCTACATTAAAACCCTTTGTTGGAATGCTTTACACTTTCCACAGGACAGAAACTAAAATAACCTGTTATACAATTAGTCACAAATACAGTCCTCGAGTCTTTTTGCCCATACACATGAGTATTATCTAAAACATGTCTTCTTTGTAGCAGTTAGGCCCTGCCACCACTGTGCTTGGCTGAGTTCACAAATCTGTTGTGACCTGTAGCTTCCCTGTCACTTCTCTGGCTCTCCTCTCCTGCTAAGCTTTGTTTCCTGGCAATAATCAAAACCTTCTGCCAGTTCCATAGCTACTGCTGCTGCTGGAACCACCATAGCCACCTTGGTTTCGGGGTTTGGCAAAGTATTGGCCTCCACCACCATAGGGGCCAGAACTTCTGCCTCCAAAGTTTCCTCCTTTCATGGGTCCAAAATTTGAAGATTGATTGTTGTAACTGCCAAAATCATTGTAGCTTCCACCACCTCCAAAATTACTTCCATTGTTACCAAATCCGTTATAGCCATCCCCACTGCCACCATATCCACCACCACCGTGGCTGCCACCAAAGCCACCTCGACCACTGAAGTTTCCTCCATGACCAAAGTTGTCATTCCCACCAAAACCACCTCCACGACCACCACCAAAGTTTCCAGAACCACTTTGACCTCTTTGGCTGGATGAGGCACTAGCCATCTCTTGTTTAGATAGGGCTTTCCTTACTTCACAGTTGTGGCCGTTCACAGTGTGGTATTTCTGAATGACAATCTTGTCTACAGAGTCATGGTCATCAAAGGTTACGAAAGCAAAGCCTCTCTTTTTGCCACTGCCTCTATCAGTCATGATTTCAATCACTTCAATTTTCCCATACTGTTCAAAATAATCTCTTAGATGATGTTCTTCAGTGTCTTCTTTAATACCACCAATAAAAATCTTTCTCACAGTTAAGTGGGCACCAGGTCTTTGAGAATCTTCTCTTGAGACGGCCCCCTTTGGTTCCACAACTCTTCCATCCACCTTGTGTGGCCTTGCCTTCATGGCCGCATCCACCTCCTCCACAGTGGCACATGTGACAAACCCGAAGCCTCTGGAGCGTTTGGTGTTTGGATCCCTCATTACCACACAATCTGTGAGCGTTCCCCACTGCTCAAAATGGCTCTTCAGACTCTCATCGGTTGTTTCAAAGCTCAAACCTCCGATGAAGAGCTTCTGCAGCTGTTCGGGCTCTTTGGGTGACTGACTTAGACGTGACGGCAGTGGAGGAGGGGCGAGACGTCAACGATGCTTACTCGGTGGCGTCCACGAGCAGAAAAGCTATTGTATGTTATTGATTTGTGGTTACACTGTTTTTCAAGTATATTAACCCATTACTATATCTACTTGCTTTAGACCTGTAGTCATACAGGCTCGAACACATTCTAAAACAAGATCTACATTTTCTTACTCTCCTCCCCCACATTTTATGATTTTGATGTCCTCTTTTACAGCTTCATGTTTATCCCTTTTGCTGTTCATTGTAGTTACCATCACTTTCACAAACATTTTTTTTTGATTTTTAAAAAATCTGTGTACTAGCTTATTTAAGTGATTTACTTTCCAGTTGTGATTTTCTTTCCTATAGATTTCTGCTTTTTTTCTATTTAGAGAAGGTCTTTCAATATTTTGGGGGAAGTAAGCTTAGTATTGCTGAATTCTTTTAGTGTTTGCTTGTCTGAGAAATTCGTTATCTCTTCTTCTATTCTAAATGATAATCTTGCTGTGTAGAGTATCCTAGGTTGCAGGTTTCCCTTTCAGGACTTTGAGTATATCTTGCACTCCCTTCTGTCCTGCTACATTTCTGTAGAGAAATCAGCTGATAGCTCTATATGGGGGTTCCTTTTTAATTAACTCTTTGTATTTCTTTGCTATGATTAGAATCCTCTCTTTAACTTTTGCCATTTTAATTATAATATGTCTTGGCATAGGTCTGTTTGGGTTCATCTCTTTGGGACCCTCTGTTCTTCCTGTAACCGGATATCTGTTTCCTTCTTTAGGTTTGTGAAATTTTCAGCCATAATTTCTTACATTTTTGATCCCCTTTTCTCTTTCTTTTCCTTCTGGGATGCCAATTATGCATAGCTTGGTACACTTTATATTATCCCACCAGTCTAGTATATTGATTTCATTTTTTAAAATTTGTCTTTCTGTCTGCTGTTCTGATTGGGTGATTTTCATTATTCTATCTTCCAGATAACTTATTTGTTCTTCTTATCCAGCTTGCTATTTATTGCCTTTAGCTCAGCTTTTGTCTCAGCAAATGAGTTTTCTAATTTTAATTGGCTCCTCTTTATAGTTTCTAGTTCCTTCTTACAGTAATCTGAATTTCTGTCAATAGTCTTTCTTAATTCCTTCAGCATTTTCATTACCTCCTTTTTGAACTCAAGGTCTAGTAGACTGGAGAGGTCCCTTTCATTGTTCTTTCAGGGGAATTCTCTTGATCTTTTAATGGGGAGTGGATCCTCTGCTTCTTCATTTCATTTATATTTCTCTGACTTTATGAGTTTAGGAGAAACAGCTATCTACTGTGGTCTTTTTTTTTAACATCTTTATTGGAGTATAATTACTTTACATTGTTTTGTTAGTTGCTTCTGTATAAGAAAGTGAACCAGCTATACGTATACGTATATCCCCATATCCCCTCCCTCTTGCATCTCCCTCCCACCCTCCCTATCCCACCCCTCTATTTGGTCACAAAGCACGAGCTGATCTCCCTGTGCTATGTGGCTTCTTCCCACTAGCTATCTATTTTACATTTGGTAGTGTATATATTGTCAATGCCACTCTCTCACTTCATCTCAGCTTACCCTTCCCCCTCCCTGTGTCCCCAAGTCCATTCTCTACATCTGAGTCTTTATTCCTGTCCTGCCCCTAGGTTCGTCAGAACCTTTCTTTTTTAAATTAGATTCCATATATATGTGTTAGCATATGGTATTTGTTTTTCTCTTTCTGACTTACTTCACTCTGTATGACAGACTCTAGGACCATCCACCTCACTACAAATAACTCAATTTTGTTTCTTTTTATGTCTGAGTAATATTCCATTATACATATGTGCCACATCTTCTTTATCCATTCATCCATCAATGGACACTTAGGTTGCTTCCATGTCCTGGCTATTGTAAATAGTGCTGCAATGAACATTGTGGTACATGACTCTTTTTGAATTATGGTTTTCTCAGGGTATATGCCCAGTAGTGGGATTGCTGGGTCATTTGGTAGTTCTATCTACTGTGGTCTTGAACGGCTGGTTTTTTTTTTTTTTTTTACATCTTTATTGGAGTATAATTGCTTTACAATGGTGTGTTAGTTTCTGCTTTATAACAAAGTGAATCAGTTATACATATACATATGTTCCCATATCTCTTGAAGGGCTGCTTTTATGTGGGAGCATCCCTGTGTAGCCTCTGTGAGTCTAATATTTTTGCTGCAAGGGCTACTTTTAGTATGGATTTCTGCCTTGTCTTTCCTCAGTGTGTGCTGGCCATTATCCCCTTGATAGGGCATGTAATTGTTGTGGTGACCAGAGCTTGCACTGGATGTTTAGTGTGGCCTCCTCTTTGTTCTGTGGTTGTCACAGCCCTGTTCAACACAAGGTCTCCTCCCCAGTTGTTGAAGTAGACACCCCCAGATCCATTTCTGAACTGTGGTGTGAGGTACGTGGGACTGGAGCACCCCTGCTGGGAGAGGAGCCACTGAGTATTCATCTTTAGAGGCTTTCCACTGGAAAGTGCACTCTGTGGTGTTGCCTGTCACCTCTTGCGTGGGATCACAAAGTGCACTGTTTTTGACACTGCCCTTGGCCTTGCTTCAACCGTGGGCATTCAGGCAACTGGCCCAGGTGTCTGTCAGTCACTGTGCTCACAAAGCCACTAGCACAGATCCATTGGCACAGAACCGCTGAAGTCAGGCACCAGGACTACCATAGTTGTGTGCCTGGACCCTCTGTGGGAGCTACTGAGTCAGCTCAGATCCTGGCTCCATCTCCACATATATGTGCCAGAAGAGCCTGCAGCCAGCCCATATCACAACACCCACCCTAGCCATAGGATAACCAGTAAACTGCTCAGATGTCCTGCAGGCACTGAGTTTGTAAAGCCACCCGCAGCAGGTCAATCTGTGAATTGCACAGCCACAGGGAGAAGACTCAGATTTCAGCCCTACTTCTGAATTCCCACTTGGATCGGCTTGGATTTCAGCCCTGACTCCATGTGTGGGCCAACCTACCAGTGTCTGTGTGCTCCCAGAACTCTTAGAGGTGGAGCTGCACCCACTGTGAGCACACCAGAATAAGGCTGCCATGGCAGGCCCCGTCCCTCCCTTAGGGAGTGTGTTAACAGTGGGGCTGCAAGGCTGGACCCTGGGCTTCTTCCTGCCCATACTGCTGGTTGTGACTTGGACCATACGCCAGCCCCTTCAGACTGTCTGTACACAGCCAACCCCAGTCCTCTCTCTGGGTCTGTCCCCTGAAGCCCGAGTTTCAGCCCTCTGCCCCTGTGTATACCAGCCAGTGTGTGTCTTGGGCTGGGGAGTGCCCGGAGGTGGCACAGCCCCTCTGTGCTGGTCTGTCTCTGTTTTGCCTGCTGCAAACTGGCTGCTGCACTCTTCTCTGAGCCTCTGAATCTTCCTTTCTGTCCTGGATGATCTCCCTACCAATGAAGGGGCTTCCTAAGGTGAGGGAACATTTCCTCTTTCACAGCTCCTTCCCAGGGACGCAGGTCCTGTCCCGATTTCTTTCCTTTTGTCCTACCCAGTTATGTGGTGACCTTTCTTGCAATTTTGGTTTTATGAGATCTTTTGCCAGCATTCAGCAAGCATTCTGTGAGAACTGTTCCACATGTAGATGTATTTTTGATGTATCTGTGGGACGTGAGCTCCACATCCTTTTATTCTGCCATCTTGACCCGGCCCCACTAGCTTCTGATTTTTAAGCCATTTTTAACACCTCAAGTTTTGTTCAAAGAGCTTGCTAGAGAATATGTTACTGTTTTAAATAAACATTGAGAATGTCTGCCATATATATAAAATCTTTCCCTTTAAGTTTTAGTTTTTATTATTACCATATTCTCTTTTAGATCAATAAGAACCAACAATTTTCTTTTGTGTTATTGTTAACAGAAAAAGATATGTCCAAATCAAATTGCTTTCTTCACCATGACAGTATGCAATGAAATCAATTTAAAAAGTTATATCTTGCTGTTATTATTTATTTATATTTTGCGGTACGCGGTCCTCTCACTGTTGGGGCCTCTCCCGTTGTGGAGCACAGGCTCCGGATGCGCAGGCTCAGCGGCCATGGCTCATGGGCCCAGCCGCTCTGCGGCATGTGGGATCTTCCCGGACTGGGGCACAAACCCGTGTCCCCTGCATCGGCAGGAGGACTCTCAACCACTGCGCCACCAGGGAAGCCCCTTGCTGTTATTTTTTCATAAGGTGGTATAGGAAACCCCAGAACACAAGACAGGCCTCAGGATCCCTTTACTGAAAGCTGCTTCAGAGGCAGACCCCATATGTCCTCTGACCTCGAGAATCAACTGAACTGCATTTCTCCCCACTCCTGACCTGGCATAAAGGAGACAGAATTGGAGTAAGGAGAGAAGATGATGACAAAGTAAGGGTCAACCGAGAGGTCAAGGGAGGTTGCTGATTAGGGTGGAGGGCTGATGAGGATGGAATCTAGAGGGATGCCCATGAGGACCCGAGCTCCCACAGATGGGCCAGACATCTGCTCCTGGAAGGTCAGAGCAGGTCAAGGATCACCTGCACACTCTGATGACAGACGGTGATAAGTTTGGGGTGGGCTTTATGGCTCCGACTGGTGCAGTAGTTTCCTTACCTCCAAATTCGTCCTTGCCTTCTTCAAAACATCGTGTGTCCTGGTCACTGAAACGAGAAAGCAGCCCCCAAGGCAGAAATTACCAGTGGGCCCACGCTTGCGTTGGATTTGTGTTCTAAAGCTTGTCTTTCTGGACACTCAGCTCGGGGTCTCCTGCTGCCCCCCACCCCGTGTCCCCTCCTCTGCCTCCACGATTACTGATGGCACAGGAGGTTTAGAGACGTCACATCAGTCTCCCCCATCCCCTAACCTCTCTGGTCTCTGTCCATTCACAGCACAGGTGGCGGACCTGGAAGGACCCCCATTTCCTGTCCATTCCCTGGCTGGGGGCACCCACACTGGCTGAAGATAAACTGTTCCATGCTCTCCTTCTGCTGGTTGGCGGTCTTCAGATGCTCAGCTGTGCTCTGAAGGAGACTCTCCTGTTTGGATAGTTTGGTTCTCAGTTCCAGAAGCTCCCTTTTCATGGACTCTCCCTGGGAAGAAAAACAGGCTCTCTGTCAACGGTCAGAAGGCCTAAAGCACCCTGTGTTCGGTGGCTCTTTACAGCTCCAGATAGGATTCTACAATCTTCTCAAGTAGTTTTGGAGCAGATTTCCCTCATCAAAGCCTCTCAATCCCTCCAGCAGGTGGTGGTGGCTCAGGATGGGCCATGAGGTGGGAGCACTGAGGACCTGGAAGCCCCGGTGCAGATTAGCAGAGGCTACACTCCTGTTGCTGCGGAGAACCTGACTCCAGGCCACACTGAAGCTCCCAGCTGTGAACAAGAGCTCAGATTTCGTGCTGACATAGTTATATCACTTGGGCATCACAAGTAAGACTTGGTCGTTGGGAATATTACGCCTGGATATTACGCCTGGGGAGACGGGGCTGGCCTGAGGTAGTCTGCTAGTTGGTTAATATTTGTGCCAATCTCAAGATGGCAAAACAACCCTTTCTTTTTTTCCTTCCCCCCAGCACCACACGGCTTACAAGGCCTTAGTTCCTCCACCCAGGGACTGAACCTGGGCCATGGCAGTGAAAGCACCAAGTCCTAACCACTGGACTGCCAGGGAATTCCCCAAACACCCCCTCCTTTGGAATTAGCATAGTTGGGTTCCCTAAAGTATCAGCGATATTATTTGGGGGTTAGAACACCTGGGAGGGATCCTGAAACCTGCCTATCCAAGGTCACCAACCAGAAAGCAGTCTGAGATCTGAGAGCACCACGGGGAGGCTGACTCTCCCCAGGCCTGACCCTGAGACGCAGATGTAAGTGATTTTCTGGGATTCCAGGGGGTGGCTACAAGAGGCTGGGTGACTCCTGGTGACATTCTGTGATCCTGCCTATGTGGACCTGGAGGTGGGGGTGGGCTAGGATGGGAAAGGAGATGTTGATTTTTTTTTTTTTTGCGGTACGCGGGCCTCTCACTGTTGTGGCCTCTCCCGTTGCAGAGCACAGGCTCCGGACGCGCAGGCTCAGCGGCCATGGCTCACGGGCCCAGCCGCTCCGTGGCATGTGGGATCTTCCCGGACCGGGGCATGAACCCGTGTCCCCTGCATCGGCAGGCGGACTCTCAACCACTGCACCACCAGGGAAGCCCGATGTTGATGTTTTAACATGGTCCTGAACTTCAGTGCAGCCAAACTTCAGAAAGTTAAAGAAACGGAACATTTAGGGGTTACCAGGGCTCTCGTGTCTCTGCCTCCTCCATGTCTTTTCCTTCTGCTCTTTGATTACTTATCCTGAGGGTCAGGGCTGTGGGGAGAGGGGATGGAGTCAGAGCTGCACTGAAAGCAGCCACCGCAGAGGAGAGGTCTGCCTCCATCCTGACAAAAGAACCAAGGCAAAAGGAAGGCCAGCTTATGCTACCAGGGGAAGAAAAGCGAGTATCTGCTCACCACATGCACATGCTCTGGGGAATGGGAACCTCTATCTGTGCAATGCCCTTGATCCTCTGACTTAATATGGCCCACTTTGGTTTTAGGGAAAACACTCTGCTTCCTGACGCTCACTGTTTTCTAAGTCCTCACATACCTTCTGTGCAGTAATCCATTCTTGAATTTTGCCAAGGATCCACATCAAAATTTCTTGTCTACCGTTTTTAGTATATATTGTTTTCATCATATTGCAAATAGAGCTATCTGTCCTTTCCTGGTCTTGCAGCATCTCTCTGATCTTCATGGTTTCTCAAAGACTATTGACAGGGATTCTGAGAATAAGGCTCCGGTGCTGTCAGTCGTCTGGGGTGGAATCACCTGGGCCTGGCAGACTGAGCTCATTAAAATCTTACAGTCTTCTCACCTGGGAGGTCTGTCTGGTCTCTCCAGGCATACAATGGTAATTTAGAAGTTCTACCTTCTCCCTTATCTATGGCTTTTGTTATCTTCCCAAGCAGTGACCTTTCCTCTCACATCTCTTGCTCTGAAGAGGCTAATTTAGAAATAACTCTTGAGGTCTCTCTCCTTTTCCACAAGTAATCTTTCATTCTGGGCTTAATCCTTTGGACAATACTCTTAGTCTTTTATGACTATTCAATAAATATAAGTAAAAATAATTTGTTAATTATGATATATTGATTTGATTAAATCAATCAACACTTAGGTTGGACTTCGGTCGGCTCCCCAATCCCCCCTCAGCCCACAGAGGAAAGGATGCCCACCTGTGGATGCCCACTGAATAGTGTTGGGAAAGCTCTGGAGGATGTTTTGCTGGTACCTCCAGACAACTGTATGGTCAGACCATTCAAGATGGCTGTTCTCTTGCTCTCTGTCCATTCTCTGCTGACCAGCCCCTCCTTCACCTACATGACTATCCAATCTGCTTAACTATAGGGCTTAATCAGTAACCACCTACATGCTTGCCCCCACCCCCAGGCTCTGGTTTCCCCGGTGAGCCTACTTGACATCAATTCTCCCTATAAATGGTCTCCTCCCTCACTGAGTAGTGAAGATTGCTGTCTTGTTCTGCCTGCTGTTTGCCGAACACTGTGGAGCGTCGCTCCAGGACCTTTGTTTAGGACTTGTAAGATTCTGTATCTGTTGAACGTTGTTTCTGTCACTGTCTATGGGCTGTTTCTCTGGTGTTGCAGCTGGGGAATTACAAGGCTTGCAGACCTGCACGGTGCAGCCCAACAATAATCGTGAGAATTAGTAACCAAAGTAACAGCCCTGAGTGTATGAGTAGGAGGTGGTGAGGAGATATGGGGATAGCAGATCAACATGGGAGGGATACACAGAGCTGCAGCAAAGTCTGAAGAAACCTGAGAGAGTGTATAGGCCTCATGTTCCTTCCTTTCCTAGGTCCAAACTAGCTGTGAGTTGTGGGCAGGTAGAACAGGCACTAACTGGAATCTAGTTTGATAACTAATGACAGTATCTGCAGGGGCATTGCACAGAAGTGGTGGATTTCCTAGAGCCCTAGTGCTTGGAGCCTAGGAGTCTGAGGGCCCGTGGTTGGGAATTAGCAGAAAGTAGCCCTTTCTAGAGTGAGAATAGCTATGGGAGTTTGGGGTTGCTGGGTCTGGGTAGCTCTGTTCTCTCCACCTTGTCTCTTTGCTTCTCCAGTTGGTGACTGGTGTGGCCAGGGAGGAAAGGGGCCTGGGAGTGACCACCCATCTCTGGAAGCATGACTGAGCTGAGCCTGAAGCCTCTGGTTTTCTTCCCTAAGGACTCTGTTCTCATTGCAGAGCTGAGGTGTGGACTCCAGGCCCGGACTGTAGAAGTTAGAGGTGGGTCCTGTCCCAGGAAGTGCAAGCAGACAAGTTACACATTTGGGTAACAGATGCTCTCTGTGTTGCTCATTCTGTATCTCCAAAGATACTGTCCCAACCCAGCAGAAAACCCAGAGAACTTGCATCCTGGGCCTAAAGCCTGATGGGCTGAATGCCTGGCTTTCCTGTGGCTCCTCTGAGTGGGTTCTGTGTGTGCATTACCACGTGCCCTGGCTGTAGCTGTTCAGGAGGCCGTTTCCCCTAAATAGCTGCTGCTGAGCTGTGGGCAGGACAAGGGCGTGTGGAAGGGTCGGCCTCCAAGTGTCAGCAGCCTTGGGGGGAGTGTAGGGAGGAAGCCCACCTCAGTAAGTGGCTGGAGGAGGCCCTGCAGCCTGTAGAGCCTGTGATTGGCTCTACCACTTGCCAATCACAGGACCAGGACACAGAAGTCAGCAGGCAGATATGAGCAGATTCGGATGGAAGAGAAGTCAGAGGATTCTGGGGACCAGACCTGGTTAGATCTGCCGCGAGGAAAGTTACTCTCTGAGCTCAGATACAGCTGCAACGGGAGCATAGTACTTGCCCCCTGCCTTGCTGATGTAAGGAGCAAATACAGAAAAGCAGACCTCGGTGCTTTGAAATCTGCGAAGGTCTGCCTAGGGGTTGACCTCCAGCAGCTCCCTAATTACAACCAGAAACAGGAAGGCCTGGGCCTCTCCTACCGCTTCCGCGGGCAGTGGAGCTGAGCCTGTGTTCCAGCTGCTCCCGCAGGCGGTCGTTAATGCAGATGGACTCCTCCAGGCGCTGGCGCAGGTTCCGGATTTCACCAAGGTGCTCCTCTAGCAGGTCAGTCCCTGCAGTCACCGAGCAGGACAGGAGGAGGTGGGAGATGGAGAATCCTGGTCACTAGTGGGGCCCACATGGGGGGTGTGGGGTTTGGCCAGTGGCCTCAGCAAGATCCCTAAACATCACCGGTCTCTCTCACGGGCATCCAGGAGCTCAGGTGACTTTGTTTAAAGAGTAAATTGGCTTCAAACACAGGACAGCTGGTGCTAACCAAGCCCCATGGGCCTCCTCCCATGCAGGGGTTCGTGTAAGGGAGTTGTAATTGTACATGTACAGCTACCAGGGTAACTGGTAAGTGTAAGGGGTTTTACATGGTTTAGAAAAATCACTGAAGGCTGTGGATCTCAGTCTAGGACCTAGACAGGTGTGGCCATTTCCTGAGTTGACTTCGAGTATAATAGGGAAAGCCTCACTCTACCCTGATACCTTTCCTCTTACTGACCGTTGACTGAACATTCGTTAGCAAGGGACAAAGCCCTTCCTCCACCCTTAGAGAGAAGGCCTAAGGTAAAAGTTAGTACCTCATGTCAACTCATCCTATGTGATTAATGACTAGTACCCAACGCTTCCCTCAAATTACTTTTAATCTGGAAAAAAGAAACAGTCTGCGCTGATCCAGGGATCTGAAGGCTGATGAGAGAGTTGGAGAAAACACCCTCAAGAAAATAAAAAAGATGCGGTAAAGAGCAGTGGGTGGGGTGCTAATGACCAACTACGTCAACTGCCTCATTTTGCTTTGGACGCAGCCTTTTTCTGAAAATCACAATTCTCTTGCTGTTGGAACTGGGCTGCATCCCAGCCTTCAGCTGTACAGCTATACCTCTCCAGCTGGTAAGATGTCTCTCAGACCTGACCAGGAGAGTTTGGAGGGAGAGGGAGAGTTTGGTTTTGTACACAGGATTTATGTAAGGGGTAGGGATCTGTGTAGAAATAGCGCCACCCCCCCTTTCTGTAACAACTCCTGATTGATGGAAGAATGTTCTGTGACTGTTCATGCCTGGCATTCTGGAAGGGTCTGAGAGTGGGCTGTGAGGGGACCAGGATGCAGGGACAGAGAAGAATGAATGTGACAGCACAGAGGTAGCCACGGACTTTCTCATACCCTTGCTCAGCACCGAGGCCCTGGGCACAGAGGATAACGGATGCACTTAGGAAGGACTGAGCACTGCTAGGGCCCTTTCCTTTTATCCCCACTCTGTGAGGCAGATACTAGAGGAGAAATGGAAAACACTACCAGATAGGAAAGGCATGGATCCTAACTGAGATTTCATTTCACTGGCTGACATGCTCGGCTTTGTGCTTTACCTGTGGGTTTGGAGTTAAGCTGGTACATGGGGGAGCCTGAAGATGGTTCCCCAGATATGCTCCCTTTCTGAGGCCTCATCATGTCCCACTGGCCTCTGCTGCCCAAGTACCCAGGCTTGAGGATTCTGCCCAGTTCTATGGTGCCCCTCAGAGGAGAGAGGGGCTGGGCAGGGTTGAGGTAGTGGGAAGAGCTGGCTTCTAAATGGTTGGTTGGCAATGTGGCTGGGGAAGTAGGATGAACATTGCTGACACCTGGGCAGAAAGAAACATGAATGAGAAGCAGTATCAGAACAGAAGGATCGGCAAGGAAGCATGTGATTGCTAAGAACAGACACTAAAGGGGATATGGCTATCAGAGGTCCCAGTCTGCTGGGAAATTCCAATTAGATGAGGATTCCCATCCTAGAGGCTATAACTTTTCACCCCTTGTATTTGCTAGCATGAGACACCAAGAGGTAGGGGATGAATAACGTATCAGAAAGTCACTAGTGTACACAAAAGGGAAGTCCAGTGGCCCTAATCCTGGCTCCTGTGATAATTCTTCATGACAGATTCCAGGGAAGTTCCAGAAGTAGAACTCACTGGGAAAATCAGAGGTTAAGAGTGTGATGGGCCATAGCATTGAGCACACCTGTGAACGGGAACATTTGTGTCCCTATGAGTACTTGCTGTACCCAGAAGCTAACCTGCCAGCTTTTGGGGTTGTCAGAAGAGGAAGGGGGTATAAATCCAGCTAGACGTGGCGGCCCCAGTTACTCCAGAGTGAGGAACTTCTTTGCTGAGGCTGGGGGAGGTTCTAGGTAAGGCAAGAGGTGATTTCATTCTTACCCAACATGGTTACAGGAACTGAAATATGTCATCACTCATGTCTAAAGAGTCATGAACACTCTTCCATGGGGGAGGCAGGACCTTTCATTTCATAGGCTGGTGCTTTCATAGATCCTATGAAATCATGGGCCTTCCCATTATCTCTGCTTCTGTGTAAAAAGAAGCCCAACTTGGTGGAGAGAGGGAAAGATGTGAACAGGGCCATAGTTTAGGATATTCACATTCAGAAAACTACCTTCTTCCAGGGATTATCAATATGGGCAGTAGGTAGCTCCACCTAAGAACTAGGAGTGAGGAGTGAGGTCATGGATTAAGTGTTCAGTGGCTTTTATGGCCAAATATGTTGCTAAGGTTTCTTCCAAAATAATGTATTCTCATGCATTTGCTCGTTTGCAACTCCAAAGGCCCAAAGCCATATTTCCCTGTTGCCTTGTGGTCCTTGTCATCATCTTCAGTCAATTTAACCTGTAAATTGAAAGTCTCTATATCATTACATAATCTTAGAGATAGAAATATATGTACAGCTTGTTTACCTGAAAAGACTGCTGTTTCTCTGTGGACCAGTGGAGTTGAGCAGAATTCTTTTGTTCTCAATAAGTCATCTCAGATTTTTTTCTAGACAATGATGATTTTTCTATTCATGGTAACATTTTTATAAAGAACATATACTACCTTAGTTGAGTCCTATTGAGAAAATGGTTCCCATTGTACAAAATAAATCATCACTCTCAACTAGCTTTTCCCCACTGAGCAAGTTCTGGCCAACACTTCAGAGGTTTTTAATAAGCTTGGTAATAATTGCTTAATACATGGTATTAAGGTTATTTTTAATAACATTTCAAATAGATCAGTGCAATGTGACTTTGGGCAAGTCACTTAACTTTTTAGGTTTCAATTATCTCAGTTTAGGAAGAATTTGGTTAACTATTTTTTTCTGCTACAGATACACTTTTGAGTTTCCCCACACAGCAGTGTCATCCCTCAGTTTATATGGGAGTTGTGATGGAGGTGTGACCCCAACTTTGAAAAGCAATCTGCTCACTCCTTCCTTCACTTAGTCATGACTGCTTAGTGGAACACTTGGAAATTGTGGACATTGTCACTCTTGTGAAACCACCAGCCTAGCCAATCCCAGCAGAGTTATAGTGCGCACATATCAGGGGAACTTCCCACATTTCCAGCTCACAAACCATGGGATGATGTAAGTTAGAAGATGACTCTCTGTCTTGCCCACATCTCTCTTCCTGACCCCAGCTGCTGTGCCTCTAAACGTTATTGTAACTGTGTGGAATATATCCTTTCCACCCCGATCATGGCTTATATTTCCCCATGTACATCTGAAACACAACCACAGGTTCCTGGCATGTGCCAATCCAGGTAGATCCAGCACCTGTTGCATAGAAACTGCCCTTGCATCTTCTCTTGTTGAATATACCAGTTGTCCAAAGGCAGATAAAAGTAACATCAGATTTACTACATGTATTCAAGGAGACATATGTGAAATTTTTAAATGCCTTTGACAAGTAGGAAAGAGATACTATGGAATTGTAATGAAATTCATAAGTTACATATAGAGTTTAATTCTCATAGAAACTTAAAAAAAAACTACAGTCAACAGAAGAGGAAGTAGGGGGATAGGCATGCAAAAACTGACTTCAAGTTATATAAAACCCAATATGTTGCCATGGGGGGAATTTGAATCAACATTATAATGGGATATATCAAGAATAATAAAGTTGGGAGGAATATACCTTTGCTAAATTAACTAGTCATAAGCTTAAGTGAAGTAGAGTATTATTCTCAAATTGTCTCCACGCTCAGAAGTATATGAAAGATTGGTACAGACTAAAAGAAGAATGTGTACAATTTTCCATTTTTCTTCGAGGAAAAGCACCAAGGACAATTCAAATAGAAACAGACTGATGAATGACCTGAATATAGCCCTCAATAAATGAAAGCTACTGGGAAGTATTGCTGCCTTGTTGGTTTTCTCTGTACACACAAGACTGAACAAGGAGAAATTCTCAGATTTTAGAGTGTTTGCAAGGATCAGAAATTGCAGGAAGCCAGAAATTGAAAGGGGCTGTAGGGAAGGATGGTCTCCTTCATTGGAGGCCTTCAGAGAGGAGATAAAGAGCCTTTACTCTGAGTTATTGAGCCCTGTTCTCTGTGGCCAGCATTCTAAGGTGATGTGGGGTCTGATAAAGCTTCCTGACTTACAAGGTGTATCTCAGGGGGCTGCATTTAAACCAGAAGAATCACAGCCTTCTCATTTCCAGCATAATTCAAAAACACCTTTGTTTTCATTAGAGTTATTTACTGTTGCTTGTTTCTCTTCTCACACACTTTTGGATCCTTCACTTCCACCTCCTGGCTGTACCTCTCTTTGTCCTCCCACCCACAAATGGCTCCAGAGCGCACATGGCTGAGGAAGCAGTTATCTGTATACCATTCCCTAGGGCTGACTCTTCACTTAGGAGCTGCTTGTGCTACCATATTCAGATATGACCTCTTTGTCACCTGACCTCTTTATATATATATTTTAAATTTTAGTATATATATTTTTATAATATTGTGTTTCAGGTGTACAGCAAAGTTATTCAGTTATACATATATATTTTTACAGATTCTTTTCCTTTATAGGTTATACAAGTTATTGAATATAGTTCCCTGTGCTATACAGTAAAACCTTGTTGTTTATTTTATATATAGTAGTGTATATCTGTTAATCCCAAGCTCCTAATTTATCCCTTTGGTAAATTTATCTCTTATTTCCCCTTTGGTAACCATAAGTTTGTTCCTATGTGAGTCTATTTCTGTTTTGTGAATAAATTCATTTGTATTATTTTTTAGATTCCACATATAAG